AACACCTGTGATTTTTTTTTTAAAGATACACATGGAAGTCTGGTGGAGAGACACACTGAAAAATAATTAGACTATAATTACTGAAGGAGAAGCAAGTGACAAAAATTACTAGAGAACAAAAGAGAAGGGATTGACTCTTCCCACAGGCAGCAAATGAGTCTTGAAAGAGTTGACAAGGCAGAGAAAGGCATGGGGGGAAGTGTTGGGGCACTCCGAGGCAAACGCATGTTAGGCAGAATCTTGTGAGAGGCATGGTGACCTGAGAGGGTTCGGCAGACTTGGGGATGGTGTGGATAGAGTGAGAGGTCATCTGGTGGGGATGGTCATGAGCGAACATCTTCTACCAGTCCTGGAGTCTCTGGGAGGCTCTGAACTGAGGATTGTCAGTAAACACCTGCATTTCAGGAAATCAGGCTCTGATAGTGATGATAACAGAGAGGATGGAGAGGTCACTAGAACCCCAGGGGAACATATATACCAGGATCAGGCATACACAGCAGGTGCCTGGTGACCTTCCCACTGGCCAGCTTACTACATACATGACCCTCTCCAGATGTGATGTTCAGCTCCAGTCTACAGGTCATTAGTTATTGGGCACATGTGATGTTCCTCTGAGCAAGTGCCTAGTCCCCAGTTTCTCTGAGACTTTCACTTCCCATGTATAAATCCTGCAGTCTCATGTATATGCTAGTCTGCATTGGTGCCCTGGGCCCTTGTATACGGGCCTAATGCCACATGGGCACAATCAAAGCTTTCTCAGAGCCCTTCATTTTGGTGCTACCCACATTCTCCTTTTTCCCTTTTTTTTTTTGTATTTTTTTGAGACAGGGTCTCCCTGTAGCCCCAGCTAACCTGAAACTCAGTATGTAGACCTTGAACTCATAGAGATCTGCCTGCCTCTGCCTCCCAAGTGCTGGGATCAAAGTCATGCACCACCACACTCAGTCCTTTTGGCCTTTTCAAATGGGTATCCCAGGTCAGGGAATAACCTGGTGAACAGTAACACTCATATACTAGCAATGCCCCCAAGAAAGTGTATGTTGCTGTGTCTGAGGAAGTTCAGATTATCTGGACACTCTCTAAGATCTCAGAGGAGAACTTTAAGGAAGTTAAAGTTGCAGAATGAATGAGTGATTCCCATCCAAAGAACCCCTGTTAAGGACAAGCTGCCAGGAATCTGACTCACTAGGGAGCAACAGAAACACAGCCTGTGTTGTAGAAGGACTGATATTCTGGCTGTGAGTGCAAGGGGGTATGCACTAAAGATCATGGCCTCTGGGTTAAAGGAGCCAGCCTTCCCACCTATGTTAGCCTAGCATGAAGATTCTAGAATGAATATTCCAACCTTTCTTTAAACATTTGTCTAGATAGGGCATAGAGAGGAAAGTAAGCTCAGCACATTCTCTTGATGCTTAGCCACAAAATAAAGGTTCTGAGCATGCAGACCTCCTCTGTTCCTTGACTAAATGCCCAAAGTCCAGATCCACACAATGGACTCTGGGCAATGCCTACCCAGGGAATGTCACATTGTGATGGGTACAGCCAAGGGACCTGCATGGAGGCAGTAAGCACACAGAAGCCAAAGATCTTGTGAGATAGTAATGCCCAAGACCAGATAGAACCTCTTCTCCAGGCACACAACAGGGGTTAGAAAAGCCTCAAGGAATCCAGTCATGTAGAGGACTGGGAAAGGCCATAGGCTAAGATGGAGACTGTCATTATTCAGTTTTGTGAAGGTTGACAGAAGACCAAATGGAGAAAGTCCTCTCTGGTTCAAAATTTGCCATGCTGTATGGTTCTGGCTCTAAAACAAACCACCTCCTCTAGTAAGGTCCCACTATGTACTGGGCATCAAATTAGGGGTTCTGTGTATATTATCTATTCCTCATGGTGACCTTGCAAGGTGCTTATCTGTTCTGCGGGTGACCAGATGGAGCTGCAAAGAAGGTAGCTAACTGGCCCAAGGTCACATAGCAAGGAGTAGAGCAGACTTCTGACTCAGGCTTCCTGACACCAAAGCCGCATTCTTCTCCCTCCACCATTTAATCTTGATGATGGCCATGTTGATGAAGGCAGGCCAGGGGTTTCATTGCCACTTTCCATCACATTGCCTAAGGGTGAGCTTGCCTTTGACGAGATCCCCTTTCCAGATCTTCTATTACCTATGGAAAAGCTGCAGCCTCTTGAGGCCCTGTGCAGATAGGTGGATAAAAGTGGAGTAGGTTCTACCAGCTGGAGAGCCGGAGCTCTGGGACTGGGGCCTTGGTAGACTGGCTCTTCACTGGAGTCCAAGTTCTTAAATGGTCATGCTTTAGGGACTGGAGAGACAGCTCAGTGTCTAAGAGCACTAACTGTTCTTGCAGAGGACCTGGGTTCAGTTCCCAGCACCCACATGGTGACTGACAACTGCCCATAACTCCAGTTCCGTGACATCTAACACCCTTTTCTGACTTCTCCAGGCACTGCATGACATGGGTTCACTTACATATATGCAGGCATAACACCCATGAACATAAAATAAAAATAAAATAAAATTTTTAAAAAATGTTCATGTTTTAAGGTTCCTCAGAGATGAGCAAGGTTACTCAAGACTGCCCAGGATCACAGAACTATGTAAAAGCATAGTGTATGCATAACTGTATGCCTGCATGAGCACATTCAGGAGCTAAGGTACTGAGGCCTCACCCCCACCCTAGTACACAAATTTGGATGAGAAGGCTTTGGAGTCTTTGTCCATACCTAGAGGATCATCCCACAATCAGAAACTTATACCAAAGACCATTTGTAACATTGGGTTTGTTTCAATATAAATAAATATAAATAGTTTTTTTTTAAGACAAAGTACCCCCTAGGTAAGTAGAGAAATGAGACAGAAGAAAAAGGAGCTGATGCAGGGTGTGTTAATGATTGTGTGCTTTGGGTAACTGGGGCTTGATCCCTCTGATGATTTTGGGGAGATGACCTAGAACGCACTTTACAATTATTCCACCCAAGAGACAAGGTGCTGGGCCATTATTCACCAGCCTTCATTATCATTGGCAGAGCACAGCCATCAAAGGATACCACCTCCACAGAGCCCCTTGCCAGGCACATGCCATCAACCAAAAAAATTAAAGGGATTTGTGGCCTTGAGCAGTTCCCCAGCTCCCTAAAGAGTCTTGGAAGTTTTGGGGTGAAGTAGCCCTGGGTGTCAGGGCCAAGACTGGAACAAGAACAGGCTGGAGAGGAGAGAATGAGAGTGCTCTGCCAGGCCTTGGATGCAAGGTGTCCCAGAGGTGAGAGAGGGTGTGTCCATCCATGCACTCTGGAGGAAAGGAGGCAAATGCTATGTCAAGAAGATTTCAGTTGAATCAGCTGTGTTAGAGAATGCGGCTTCCTGTGGCTGAGACTTGCCCCTGAGCTCTTCATCTGTGGGGAACAGGGAGTACTAGGAGGACAGATAAAGATGGGGCCAACAAGGGTCTTTGCTCCACCTTTGGGGGTTCTAGAACTAGGAGGAACCCCTCTGCTCCCCCTGGTCGTGCTCAGGGAGAAGCAACAGGAAGAAGACCTTCTTCCAGCATTGTTTGGAGAACCTCTCACAGAAAGGAAGTCTTAGAAGAAATAAGTCCTAAGGCTGCCCAGCTCTCCTCTGCCAAGGACACCTACCTTGCTGGTCTCAGGCTCCTCCTTTATAAAAGTTTGGAAGGCTTCATTGGATGACTCTAAGATCCCCCCAAGTCCTGGCCTTCTGTCACTGTCTGCTGTAGAATCCATTCCCTGGGCCCTTGATTGTCTTCATTTCATTCATCAATAACTATTGATAGAACACTCATCATCTGTCCATTTCTCAGTGGGGAAGGAGGAATGAAATAGAATCCAGGCCTTGGTACCTAAGAAGGAACAGAATGGGAGAGAAGAGTCTATTTATCACGTACCCAGTGCTGAACACTTTGTACACACAGACTTCGGTATTCCTCACTATAGCCCCATTAAGGTCAATATTAGAACACTTGTTACACAGATTTTCAAGTTTCAAGACCAAGGCTCAAAAGCTACATGGCCAGTGCTGCCCAGTGGTGGGGCTTGTACTGGAGCCCAGGCTTTCAATCACATTGCTATACTCCACTGTGCAATACACAGCAACTCCCTCTAAGGACAGCTCTTAGTGATCTAAGACACAGAGCAGTGAAAGCTCAATCACCTGGAGAAGACCATGAAGGAAGAGCTTAGCCCTGGGCCTTGCTAGAGAAGGAAGCAGTTCTATGTACTAACTCCCTGTCCTCTCAGCGTAGGCAAGAGAGGGACAGCCATGGCTCAGCCTGCTGGAGTTCTCCTTGGGAGGAAAAGAGGGGCCATTGAAAAACAGGCCTCTCTAAACTCAGCAGGGCAAGCTCTCTCGTTTTCAAAGGCCCAGTTCCCAAAATAGGGCTGATGCTCAAGCCAGGCCTATAAGTACCATTCCCTCCCTCAAACTCACTAAGCCTGTCTAAAGATGGAGCAGGCCCCAGTATGGTCCCAAGCCAGTGGCCATGGAGCCAGACCACTGACCATTACCATGGTTAACACTTGTGCATAGCCAGTGTCCATGAGCCAGGTAGTTTTAAGATGCACAAATAGCTACTCAGCCTTTCTACGTCCCATAAGGTCACCACAGTTAGCATGCCCATTTCCAGACAAGGAACAGGTACAGTGATGTTAAGTAACATGCTAGGGTGGCCCAGCTGCTAAAAGGCAGGTCCCAGATGTGAACCTAGTCACTCTTCACCATTCAGCCCCTGCTTCTGAGCACAAGCTGAGAGCCCTGGACACAGATGACCCTCTGTGCAGAGTGCCCTCCCCAAACCACCAAGGTTTGCCCCTGCCTGGGACGCTTTCTAGCCATCAGAGCTCCTCTCTAGAGGGGACTGCAGGAGGTATGCCACTCGTCCCCTTCATTGAAAAGGACCATCAACCAAGCAGGTCAGGCCTCATGCACCATCCCCCTCCCCCAACCGAGCACCGTTGCCTTCTGTTCACAGCGATGGCTCCTGTGCCCAGGCCGGTGGGGGCATGGAGGACTCCGTGGTGGCAGCGGTGGCGGCCGGCAGACCCAGTGCCCACGCCCGGAAGGCTGAAGCCCAGGAGCTGCAGCAGGAGGAGGAGCGGCTGGGGGCGGGGGGCTCCCCGCGGGCTGGCCCCCTCCGCGCGACCTCCCCTGGCCAGCAGCAGCCTGCCCTGGCGACGGCGCTCTGCTCCCACACCCCTGCTGCCTCCGAGTACGAACTCTCCCTTGACCTAAAGAATAAACAGGTACCCAGGGCCTCCCAGGGGGGCGGGGAGGGTGGTGAAGGGCCCTGCCTTTGGGGGCTGTCGAGGGTGCCAGGGATTCCCCCCACTGATTCCACTTGCAGGCACACCTCTCTTTCCATGGTTGTCCCCAACTGAGCTACCTAACCGCCTTTCCCTAGTGCCCAGTTCCTCTGGGAATGAGTGCAGGCCATATTGAACTCCCACCCAGCCCCTTTACCTGGCAAGGCTATGTCTTGCACCCTGAGGGCTTGTAGCCAGTGTGTCCAAGGCCCCTGCCCATTTTTTGCAAACCCTAGGTGAGTAGCTGTCATTCACAGGGGAGTCCCCACCTCTATTTTCATAGAAAAAAGAGCCCCCATTAAGATGTCCCACAAGGGTAAGCCAAGTTCTTAAGCAAGCACAAGAAAAATGAGGTACAAAAAACGGTGGTCAATTTTCACGGCTAATCCATTTGAGGGCATCTAGAGCCCCCCAACTGGAAACAAAGGGGTATGCTTGGAGGAAGATGTATCTATGAGAGACTATTAAGAAACAGATTTGAACTTGGAGGTGTAGACATGAGACCCTGGCCTCGCTGTCCCTTTATGAGCATAGACTTTAGGAATGCCCCTGAAGCATTCTGGACATCATCAGCAAAACTGGAATTAGGCCTTCAGTTCCCTCCAAGAGCCCTTCTTAGCTCTATCACGTGTAGGCTCTGTTGCCCCTGGACAGGGTAAATCTCGGGAAGCCAGTAGAACTAAGTAAATCCAAATTAACTTCATTTCCTTGGGGGGCATTAACCCAAGCTATCATCTTGGACTGGGGACAGCTGTGGGCAGTGTGCCTGACCTTGCGTAAAGCATTTTGACAAAAATCCTTAGACAACAACATAGTCAGCTGGGTTGTTCTCAAGTAGAATTTGCAAAACAGAAACAAAACCCCAAATCATCCAATTTTTCTGTCCTGCCCAAGTCCAAGGAAATTGAGCAGGATGCTGTCCTTGGTTCTCCATTTTGATAAGCCCTGGATAAAAACATGGGAGTTACAGGTACCGAGCTTTCTCATCAGATTGATGACAGGCTGAAGGAGAACAGCTAGTACTTTAATAACTAAATCCAAAATGTGTTGTTTTATTTAAGAAAAAGCACAGAAAGATGCTTCAAATGAAAATAAGTCAGAGGAATAGGATGAAGTCTAAAACTTTGATCATAACTTTGTGATATCCACAGCACCGGTATTAGATGTATTGAATGGGAACTTGGCCTTGCAGGAGGGCCTTGGGGCTTTGATTGACTATATGATCATGGTCCTCCATAGCAGCTGCGCACAAGGGCTCACAGCTTTCAGTGGCCCCTCAGAACAGAGCAAGGGGTCAACGAGCTAGTAGCCCTATGTTGCACACCCCTCCAGTCTTTGGAGCCTCTGTATTCCAGAGGGAAAATGAAAACTGAAGTCCCTGAAGAGGGAAAACTGAATAGGAGAAACTCTATATGGGGAAACAAGTGTGAAGTAAGAAAGGACTGACATGGAAAGCAGCTTCTGTCCTTCGAGAAGGAAGAGCGGCCCTGATACCTGAATCTAGGAGGAGAGTTTAGCTTAACAGCTAAAGCTGGCTAAGGGCATCCTCCCGACTCCACAGGTCTCTGGTTCACTTTGGTGCCCTTCCCCCAGCATCCAGCAAAGTATCTCAGGTGTAATAAGTGCTAATCGAGTGGGTGTTGTTCTTAATAACTATGATACGTGAGGTAACAAGGACTGGGGCACCAAGAAGAAAAGCCATGTTTCCCCCGAGAGACCACGCCAAAGAACACCCATGCCCTGGCTTGGGCAGGAAAATTGGTAGAATGTTGACTGGCAGTGGGAAATGGAAAGTTGTAGGATTCTGATTGGATAGGGGACTTCATAATGGTAGGTCTAATTCCAGCAAATGTGATTATACTTCACATCAAAAGGACTGGGTCAGTAAACGCGAGGATCGTTAAAAGGATTAGTAACATGGGCCCTCTTACTATGTGAATCGAGCCCTGAGGAACAGTCAGCTTCTGCTCAGTCTTGTGTCTTCTGGACCAAGCACAGGTAAAGTAGACAGGAGGAGAAAGAAGGCAGAAGGGCATTGACGAGGTCAAAGCAAGGCTACTGAAACACAATTACATGAGATTGAACTCCCCCTCTCTCTGCCAAGGAGCTTTGTTACCTTGGGCAAGTTGTTTACCTTCTCTGAGCCTCAGCTACCTCGCAGTCCCTGAGCTTTACATGCTGTTCTCCTTGCCTCTATATCTGGAGTTCTTCCTCCTCTCTGCACACCTGACCTTTCCCTTCTTATTTCAGGGCTGGTTTTAAGCGCATCCTCCTCCTCTCTGGCAGTTTCTCTGCCCTTCCATTGCATCATTATCCCCCCAGTGCCCAGTGCAGTGCCTGATATTAAGAAGATGCTCTGATGCTGGTGTGGTGGTACATGCCTTTAATCCCAGCACTCAGGAAGCAGAAGCAGGCAGATCTCTGTGCGATGGAGGCCAGCCTAGTCTACATAGCAAGTTGCCAGCCAGCAGTGGCTACAGGAAGACCCTGTCTCAAGAAGACCAAAGAATAAAAAGACATTCAGAAATGAATGAGTATATCTTAGCAATATTGCATGATATATTTACTAAATTGTGTTTCAATGGCAAAAAACAAGTTCAAGCAAATAAGAAAAAAATTAGTTGGAAGCTACTCAACTCAAACTTATTTTTGAGGGCTGGAAAGATGGCTCAGCTGGTTAAAAGCACCGACTGCTCTTGCAGAGGACCCGGGTCAAAAAAAAAAAAAAAAAATACTCTGTGGTAGAGCAGTCACTTAGCATGTGAGGCTCTGGGTTTGATCTCCAGCACTGAAAAAGAAAGAAAGAAAGAAAAGGAAGGGAGGGAAGAAGGGAAAGAGGCAAGGAAAGAGGAAAGAGGAAGGAAGGAAGGAAGGAAGGAAGGAAGGAAGGAAGGAAGGAAGGAAGGAAGGAAGGAAAGTTAAAACATGAGGAGGGGTGTCTTGGAATTAACTAAATCTTGTTTATTATAAAAGAAAAAAGTATGAAGATGTCATAATGAAATCCACCACTTTGTATACTAACTTAAAGTTCATTTAAAATGCACAAAAATATCAAAGGTATTAGAAAAAAGTTTTAATGTTTAAAAAGAAAAAGAAGATGCTCAGGAGGCAAAAAGGAAGAAAGCTTGGCTGTATGACAAGGGAGGGTGGCTGAAGCCTGGGTGAGGCGCTAATGATCTATAGGTGTCTTTGAGATGGAGGTCCAGGATTCTGGCCCCATGATTCCCTCCACCCATACGACATCTGGTAGTCATTGGGCTTGGCAGGTTATAAACACCAGGACCTCCCCAGTCCTCCCTGTCTCAGGCCTTCCTGTCAGCCAATCTAGACCCAGCAGCATTTTCCTGGCTCCTCACTACCACCATATCTATCCCCTCCTCTACTCCACTGAGATTGCTCCTTAACTTATCCCCAGATCCCACCCTCTCCCCCACCTATTTGAGGCCAGGTCAGTATGTCTCTTACCTGCACCCCTGGGTTACCCCCTGCCAGTTCCAGCTTCAGCAGCACCTCTGCAGCCTGGTCTCCACACTGCAGTTGAGTCATCTCTGTGAAGTGCACTTCTGATCACGCTGCTCCCCTGCTTGAAACCTTTGATGACTCCTTTTGTGTTCAGTACAAAGGCTTCTGTGCTCCCCTGCCTCAGACCCAAACCCACACCAAGGTCCCTGCTGTTCATATTCACTGTCCCTGAATCCCCTGGGCAGCCTCTGAGCCTTCACACATGCTGTTTCCTCCATGGGAAGCACTGAACTTGGTTCCATTTTGCTTCTCAGGTGGTCTCAATTCCTACTTAGGTCTCAGGTCCAGGAGTCTCCAAGCTAGTCAAGCACTTTTACAGAGTACCCACAGCTTATTCTGTACTATCTGGTAGCCCCACTCATAAGGACAAGGACCATGTTGTTCCCAGGCTGTTGCAGAGCTGAGCAGATTGTGCCACAAGCACCCTGGGGTAGGAGGATAGATGTACTTCATAGTCCACATGAGGAATTTAGTGTGTGCTGGCTGCTGCCCTGCTCCTGCCCACCGTCATCCTCCTGCACCCAGCACAATCCCTGGATCTTAGCAAATGCTCAGCTTGGAAAAACCGCATGCGTGAATGAGTGAATGAAATCTTCCCCAAACATCGTTACACCTTACTGACCCCTTCCCCAGGACCCTGCCCAGAAAGTGAGCCTCCACATTCTCTGCTCCTCCCGTCACGGGCCTCGCTCACTTCCTCTTGCAATGATTTTTGGTACTACAACCTTGGGGTGGGGCAGAGAAAGAGCATGCAGGTTCCTTTGGGGCACCTTTTAGGAAAGCAGCTGTGACTGGGGTATATAGCGTCCAGTGCAATTCCCAAATCCTCCAGCCCTCCAATGAATTTGTACCCTGTTCTCTGTTACTCCTACTAAATAGGCCATCTTGGCAGTCTGTCTAAACTGTAGAACTCTCTGAGCTGGCCAAGCCCTGGGGCTACAGAACTGTGATCAGCAGCATCCAAATTGTTCTCTAATCCAGGGTCCATAGAAGCCACATTCGGTCCCCCTTCTCAATAGATCTTCCAGACTCCAAGCCTCAGGATCCAGCCTCAACCTGGGATACCTTACCAAGAACTGGTTGACTAGCTTCCCTAGTCACTTTCCCTCTCCAAGTCTCAGTTTCCTCATTTGTGAACTTGGGAGCTGTACTGGAGTGTCTCTAGGCTCTTCCCACTCCAGAGGTGAAATGTTACTATGAGTAAGGAGTTCCCCAGAGGATCCAGCTGTAGAGACGGAGGTGAAGGCAAGGCAAGGCAGAGGTGGTCTGCCACTTAGCTTTATTCTCTCAGAGAACTGTATTACAGTCTTGCTTTCCACTCACTGCTAGTCCTGGGGACATATTGCAAACTACACAGACCTAGTTCTCACAGAACTCATCTTCCCATGGTGGGAAATGACGTGGAGGTGACGCCGGCT